GGAACACTATACAGCTGCCATTCTAACTTCCTGTATTTTTAAGGGACTGCGAAACTACAAAAAGGACTGATTTTTAGTACACTGCTTTATGGACATTGGCCACAAGTACGTTCATGCTAACAAAAAAAGACCTCAGTCACTGGGGGGGAGCGGGGAGGAGCAAACCCAAAAACTAACCTAAAAATCCCCTAACTCACTCCCAAAGGGTCAACAGAAACTTGGCAGTTGCTAAATAGTCTTAAACCTGCACTGTTTTATTCAAGCAGCATAGCAGACTACTTTTATCAGTTCAGGCAGATTAGTTGCTGCTAAGAGCCAGTGAGTGACAAGGTTAATGCTTTAAAATGTGTTACATGGGTAATCAGCAGTATGGTCCCCATACAGGCTTCAGAATGGCCCAAAGCCTACCTTGACTGTTTATTTCTTTTGGGGTCCTCTGCAGCAAAAATATGTACTGTGCCATGGTCACTGGATACACAGATTAGGGAAGCGTCCTGATTGAAGTTAATGCTGTAGAGAATACAGACAGTTGCAGTATTTCCGCTGAAACATAACAACAGTTTCCCATGCAGCTTACGTGTCTGCCTCTGCGAGTACCAAGAACAGCTGTCACCTTGGCAGGTAAGGTGTTACCGGCTCAGCTCCTGCCCCGTTGAGATAGAGCTCCTCCAAGTCAGTATTTCCCTGCTGACAGGAATTATTAACCTCCCCCCCCCTACCCCCCCCAAGGCGAGGGGGTTCTTTCAGAACACAGAAGACCTGATTTATCAGAAGGGCCCTAAGAGCCAAGCAACAGGCTGTCCCGGGATGGAGACTTTCAGTGTGTCCATCCCACCATTTTTGCAGAAGGAAAACGTATGATCTCTGCTCCAAGGTCGAGACAGGTATTAAATAAAATGCACAACGCTCCCACCCCAAAGCATGGTGCTAAGTAGAAGAATGCAAGTTTCCTCACTCCTGGAAGATTGCTACAAGCAGGGGATTAGTCATACTTCTGCCTTTGGCTCCAACACGGAGAGTAGCGCTGTGTTAAAATAAAGCTCTGCTTTCACCATTCTCTTGCCCCAGGCACTTAGCCTAGTGTCTCTGGGCAGTGCTGCGAGAATTGCATCATTGCCTTCCCCATCTATCAGCCTGAAGTCCAGGCATCCACCCATCTAAAGCTTATCCTACAAAGAGAGGAAATAAACAGACCTATCAACATTTGCATTTTGTCCCAGCCCCTGTATAACCTGCGCCTCGTTTCATATCGCTGTCAGCTACTGCTTCCTCCCTTCGCCACCACTGAAGGAGGAGGATCCCGGGAACCGCGACTGCCAAGAGAGGTCTGCTTTCCACCTGTGGCAGCCTAACCCGCCTTTGCTCTCTGAAGAGGACACTCGGGGTGCTGCCCAACAATACTAAATCCACAGGACAACAAAGCAGAAGCAATTAAACATACCAGTATATATTGGCTGCCTGTGATCCTCTTCGTAGCTCCTGGATTAAATGCCCTGATGAAGTATCAAATATTCTTATGAGGGTCCCCTTGAGAAGGAATCAAGCGTTATATTAGGAAAGAGAAGACTGTCTGCACAGCTGTGTTTACATCTGTGACCACCATCCCAAAACTCTTTCCTGACCAGCACAGCCCTCGCTACACAACATACTGGGGTTAGTTTTTATCTCAGAGGATTTGAGCGAACCACCTCTTACTAATTTTAGGGAAGAAGATCGTTGTGGGTTTTGTTTTTTTTTTTTCCTCCTGCTCCCATCACCAGTGTTGCAACGCTCGGTGTACAACTTTGGCACATAACTACTCAACTACGGTAAGAAGTTTTATCCAAGTTACATTCTAAAGCGCCAGCGCAGCCCTAGCATTAGTTTGCATTACAGTAGATGACTCTTATTTCAATTTGCAAATTGTGTTTGAATGTATTCTGGAGGTGATAAAAACACCATCCAGTGGGTTATTACTCTGTTTTGCAAAAGAATTTGCAGTTTTAAGAGCTTTGTTTAGAACTACAGTAATTGAGCTTAGTTAGGAGAGACTATGACCGTTTTTAAAGATTTTTGACATACTGGATGCACAGCAGAAACTGCTCTAAAGAACCAGTGGCTGGATTCATCTAGCTTGTCTTTGAAAAAACTCATTTCAGTTGAGTGAAAGAAGGTAGAAAGTACTCAAATCACCTCATACCCATCTACCTGACATTAATCTGGACACACTGGAGCCATCTCTGGAAGATGAAGCTCACTAGCAGACTTCGCTGAAGCTCATGTGCAGAAGGCAGGCTTACTACCTGCTTTGCATCCTTTCTACATCTCTCTGCATCAACCCAGTCTGAAGTGATGTGTATTATGCAGCAGCTTTGTTTTTTTGTCTGTACAGTGCCCTGTGTAACTTAAGATCACACAAAGTTTGGTAAATAGTCCAAGAACTGTTTCATTGCCTACACTCCATGCAGATACCTGTGATGTACGTATGAGAAAAACGGAGGCAGTATACATGCACACAGCCTTCCCTAGTCTGTAACAAATTAAGGCAGAGCAAAACTCATGTCCTCTAGTATGAAGGCCAAGCTGGAAGAATTTCTTTAACCAGTGGTTTTAAAGTTAGTTGAAGCATAAACTGTAATACAGGTGAAAGAAGAGAGCATAGCTATTTATTTGCTTAATTTACAATGTGGCATTTATTGAACGTGGTATTTATTGAAGTAGCAATTAAGCATTACTACTTGTAGTGAATGAACCCTGTTCTTGATTCAAGATAGGCACAAACAGTCAGGCAGCAAGTCAGCCTTGTGAAATACATGACCTCCTTAGGCCAGATGTCATTCACACGTCACTGAAACCAACACCCTGCCCTGCCTCCTCAGGCGCTGCATTCTGACTGCTGTTTGGGTCAGCTAAAGCAGCAGTAAAGATAAGGACAGACAGCATGCATATTTCAACAACAAGTTTTCCAGTTAATTAGTTCTATGCTGTCCCTACAAAAGGATGTGGCTCCCTCTTTTAGAAGTAGCTATTACACTAGAACACGTAGTAAACCAGAGGTAAGATATTGTGCTTACTTTTTCTGATGCTGTTGCAATTCTTGTTCCCTGCAGGTTTAAAGCTATACAGCTCAAGACACCTTCATGAGCCGGTATGTCTACAGGAGGCTTTTCTGTATTAGCCAGATCCACTATCTGCACGTGCCCAGTATGTGTTCCAGGAAACGCAAGGAGAGAATTATTACTATTTGGACAAAGGACACAGAGACCTAAAATAAATCAATAAATAAGATGAGAATAAGAACAGCTGTGTAGTTAGTTTCCATAAACTAATAAAATTCTCAAGCATAAACTTCTAGGCAAGTATTAGATAAAATGCACAACACTCCTACCCCAAAGCATGGTGCTTTGGGGTAGGAATTAAACCTATACTGTAATAGAGTACATGCAAAAAAACTTTTCTGTATCAAGCATGAATACATTTTAATAACCGTTTCAAAAACACAGAAGCATCTCCAAAGAGCACGGCTATACTGCTGTAAGTAAACCATTTGAATGGCTTACTAGAAACAGATTCAGGAATCTGAAGATAAATAGCATGACGAGAGCATAATAAAAACGTTTATTTACATTTACTCCTTTACTTATTTACGTTACCCCCGCTCCTACAACTAACCTTTAGGGTTGTAGCAGGTTTCAAAGACGTGCAGCTGGTGGGGATTGTGTGTGAATGTGAAAACTTTAATCATCGAGTCCAGAACTACCACAATTCTGAAATACACAAAGAGAAGTTCCTATGACGTCGCAGTCAGGAGTGGGTTAAAATAGAGACATATGTATTAACTCAGATCTACAAAGGCTTTCAACCGTTTTTCTGGCTATATTCATTTTTTTGCTCTACAGACTTCCAGCTTTGCAAGAAAACATACAACTATGAGCCTGCAAAGCACTTTTATTCAAAGCTGTAACAGCAGAACCCCACCACCACCACACACACACACAGACTTCAGATGCCGACACGTGTTCTTGCTCCAGAGAGCCACTCGAGTTCCCTCCATAGTCCTCCATACCTAGAAAAACACTGTCAGCAATAGCCACAGAGGAACATTTCCCCTTATTAGGCAGTCATACAAAGCTTTATAGGCTTTTCATCAAGGCTTCAGATACCACTGTACTCAAGCTGTGATCTGTTAGCACTTAACACTTGCCCCAAAAGCCTGTTTTAGATAAGGAACATCAGCAGTTAAATATAAGCGTTCAGAGTATTTTTCTTTCTGCAAATAGCTGGAAGTGTGTAAGAAGAGTGCACACAGCAAAGTCACGCATTTGGAACAAGTCTGTCGTACCTACCTATCTCTTCGCAGTTTAACTGCTTTGACTTCTGTAGAAAATTCTATCTCAATGACGGTCTTCTTTTTCAGGTCATCCCAGATCATTACTAGAACAGCGCAGAGATTGCATTACATCATCAAGGCATGTCTACAAGGCAGATCTGCAGTATCGCCATTATAACAATTTCTACTTTCTGAGAAGACTAATTAAAGAAAGAGGTGCATCTGACAGCTAAGCAATTGCACATTGGTATTCTACTAACCAGAAGGTGTTTAGCTACTCTCTATCAACCTATTCTTTCCTGCTACTACTCTTGCAGGCAGGAGCTGGTAAACTCTTAAAACAGAAAATATATATTCATAAGGACAATTACCTTTCTTGTCGTTCTGAGAGTTGGCTACTGAAGAAATAAAGCAGCAGCCAAAAAAGAGTAACAAGTTTTCCTAAAAAGCCTGCCCACTAGGGACCTTTCCCCCCACCCCCCTCAAGTTGCTGAGCCATAAAATCTCTTTGCAAAGCTGACTGCGAAAAGTACAGATTTCTCTGGCGATGGTTTTGGTCTCAAGAGGCCGGTCGTTGCAGATAACTGCCTGTTAATACTGTGACAGCAGCAACGCAACTTGCTTCACCCTCCATCCAACTTCAGAATATCAGGCCCCAGCTCAAGGCGTTTGGTTTGGGAGTTCTTTTGGCAGTCGGACAACAAGTAGTAAGACACGCACTTACAAGATTTATTCCTTGAGACTCAAGACTGTACCTTTGTTGGGTGGGTACTTCGGCTTTTTTCCTCCACCTACTAGCGCTAAGTAGTTGCAACGAAACAACATTTCGACATGGCCAACACCACCTTCTAGAAATTCTGGAAGACAAAGGTATTGGAAATAAAAGTGTCACAAAATGTTAAGAGGCCTTCAATTTTTTTAATCGAGTGTTAACAAAAAAAGTTCGAGTATGCCTAGGACATATCCCAGGTATCCCAAAAAAATGAAGAAAGGCCCCTTCTCTACGCTGGCTGACGTCAAAACAGAGCATCCTCTTAAGAGTTGGGGGACAGACCAGGAAAATCTTTGTTGCACCAACACCACCTGACTAAAACGGTATTTTTGTTTTTTTAAGATCAGGATTCTCAACAAAGTTGCTTTGTTCTTCATAGCAATGAAGATGGCTGCTGCTGGTGTTGCACAGTTGGGACAGGCTTTACTTATATACACCTGAAAAATACGTAGAAAAAACACTGCAAGATTTTAAAGACGTTGCATGAGAAGAAGTCAGCCAATATCATCAGAGTAGCCTTGTTCATTTCTATTTAACAGTGGTTTTGTAAATACATTTAGAAAGACTGACAGGTTAATTCAAATGCTTTCCCCAACTGATTCCCCTCACGCACACGTTTTTGAAGTCCTGTGTCACTCTATAATGTTAATGCTACGCAACTGCAAAAACACCAACACTTTTCATTAGTCAGGAACTTCTTTTTTTCCTTGGCAAGGAGATTTGTCCTTATGGACTTAGTGGATTTGACAGAAGAAGGCAAAACGCACAGGGATTTGTCCTTATAGACTTAGTGGAGTTGACAAAAGGAGGCAAAATGCCACGTTTGTGTAACAGAATCTCAGGTTCTGTTCTCTGGAGAATACCCATAGCCGCCAGAATGAGAGGTACGGTCCAGCTCCAGAGAGCGTCCACTCAAGCTTTACGTGATGCAGGGAACGCAGTGAAAGCAAACAGACCAGCCGCTGCAGAAAGTTTCTCAATTACTGTACAAGGTAAAGGGTTGAGCCGCTTCTGTTTTGTTTTGTTTAGCTGAGGAATTTCAACTGCAGAGGGAATAAGATAAGATGCTATGCTGTGGTGCAAATGAAAGGACAAAGTATCAACCAGGGGATTTTTACAATAAAAAAAATTCTTCTATTTGATGGCATCTGGCTGGGGGGTTTTGTTTTGTTTACAGAATTTGAGGAACTGAGGATGAGAAGCCACAACCGTGGCCTTCAGGGCACATGATCTGTGCAAAAGACGATCCTCTCCTTCAAGAAACTGTTCAATACCTCCACGCACTGGCAGGTTCCAGAAACAAAGACAGAAGAAACTAGTCAACTATTTCAAAGCTAGAGGGAAGGTTGACGTTTCATAAGGCAACAAAAGGAACAGGAGCAGGGATAGGAAAGAAGAGCAAAAATGTCTGAGGAGGTGGGGAGAAGTACTACAATGGAAAGATTTAGACATACGCATCAAGGATAAGAGGAAGGGAGATTTAGTTAGACGTTAAGAAGCACTACAATCTTTCTGGATGAGGAATCCATGTTTGGACTTGACCATACAATGGTAAAGACAAATGACTGGAAAGATATTCGTGTTGGAGGAGTAGAGCCTTGGATTTCATACAGCTCCTTGTGGTTTCTTCAACACTACTTCTGCCTGCTGAGTTCCGTTCCTGAACAACACAACGGTATTTGGCCACTATCCCTTTTTCCACCAGTTCCCCCCCTTCAACTCCATTTCTTTTCCAATACTTACAAGAAATTGTCTCATTCAAAAAAAAAAAAAAGAAAAGTTAGGAGCTAAGGATTCTTTACGGAAGGTACACACCTAAACATACTTAAAACAGAGTGATATCTACGATGGTGTCTCATCTGTAAGTGCATCATCATAGATATCAATCTAGTACAGAAAGCACGCATGTTGGCGGTTTTTAGCACAACAGGACTCTAGCCCAGAGGGTTTGACAATAGTTACTCATGTGCCATTAAATCAGAGGCTACTACGTCTTATACAATTTTGTCAGCTTTTAATTCTAATTTAGATTTTATAATCTTCTTAAGTGCTCCAGAGATGCAAGTACCCTCTCTCCCTTTTTTGGCAAGGCAACTAACTTGCCCACATTCTCAAGTCTGACTTGTTTTTTTTCTTTTTTTAAAGCATAACAACACTTTTCGTTATGAAGGGGTATTATCACTGAGATAAAAAGGCTTGAAATATGTAAGAGGGATAACCTGACACACTTGAAGAACACACAATATGTTGTGAATCTGTGTTAGAATAAACACTCACTCGTTATTTTAGCAGTTCTGACTCTGGAGATGGTTGGATGGGAGACTTCATGAGATTCTTGGGTGTAAGAGATACAAGCCAGGGTATAACAATTAAGATTTGGTTCAAAGCCAAATTACACAAGTCAAACAAATAGACAAGATCCATCTGTGACTGTCTCTGCTGAGCTGATAGGTAGCTTTAAACGTACATGAAAGACACAACTTTTCTGTGCACTTGCACATCCTGCAGAGTCTGACCTTTCAGAACCCAAAGGGGAAAGGGACTCTGTCTCACAAGAAACTCTTCGTTATTCACTGTTACAGCATCCTAGAGCCCTGGAAATCCACCCAGAGCCACTGTAAGGAAGAGGTTTGACAATGACTTCAACAGGACTTCATGCCTCAACTCGAATCCTTTTAGCAGACTATCACAGATTATAGTTCCAAGACTCGCTGCTCATAGAAAGATTTAGTATTAAGAGCAGAAAATGATTTGTCAGACTGACCACCTGAATGCTGACTGAAATCTCTTACAGCACTAGAAAGTGAAAGCAGGCCTCGTTTCATACGAGCTGCTCTTTTAAATAGCTTTTGCCTCTTGTAAGTCTCCTTGCTAATTCATCACCCCAGGTTATATTGCTAAAGACAGGCTGAAAGTGCTGGGAAACTTGTTTAGCATGGCAGCCTTCCCCCTATATTTAGGATTAGAGCCACATGACTAAATTTCATTTTTCCTTTTGACTCAGTTCTGCTTGCTTTCCAATTAAAAACAAAAATAAAGCAAAAACTATGTTACCTATTAACATAGCTCTCACCCAGTCATTTCTCTTAAGAAATAATAGTAGGTTTACAACCTTAAGAGCCTCTCAAATTCTGTAAGCCTACCGAGGGATCTTTTATCACAAAGGTTATGCAGTTTAGACTATAAGGGGTCTGAACTCACAGGGCTCTCGCAAGCAATACTCTGAATAAATACAAGAAACATATGTTCAGGTCTCCAGGAAGAAGGCAGAAGTTTTGTACTAGATCCTCCAGATTACTGCACAAGAACAGTACAATCTCTCTCGATGGCAGCTCATATTGCTGCGGCAAAGCAACTCCTCCCCCATCTGCGAATAACCAATTTTCTCTCTTTTTCAGGACTATAAACATTTCTGTAGCAACAGCTAATGCAATTCAGCCTCTACAAAAAGGTCTGACATCTTCATAATAAGCCACCTTTATGCAAATTAACAGCATCTGAATACCTGATAGGGGCATTAACATAAATGATACTCCTTTTAGGAGTCCAGCATAGACTTCCATTACTGGAAGGCTTTGAAAAAAGGTTCAAACAAAAGGAAAAGGGAAAGCTAAGCAAGAATCTTACAGAAAAAAATAAGACGAGTGAGCTTCCAACACAGAACTGGAATATTAAATAAGCATTTTACCTTGTTTCTCTTTTTCTTTGAGTGGATCTGCATTATAAACTCGGAATCCATTTTCCATTCCACATGCAAAGCAACCTGCAGTAAAAGACATACATACATATACAAATATGTAAAAAAATATATATATAGTAATTGTAAGATACATTCAAGAACTAAGCCAGAGAGTTAAGAGAACATTACTCAGCAGCTCCATTGTTAAATCTAATCTGAAGAACACTTGCAGGCTTTGTTAGTGTTTGCTAGTGAAAACGGTTTGGAGAAGTTGTCCTCTGTGCTCACCTCTATTTCAAGTCGAAAGCTCCTAGTATTCTTTCCAGACAGGTGAGGAAACAATGAGGAAAGGAGAATGATTCACAACCCCGTCCGTAACCTACGTCACCCAGTATGAGCGAGAAGGAAACCTGCATTTCAACTTTCATGGTCCAACAGTCTTTATGAAGCAAAAGCCCTCTTTTCTTGATGTATCGGCATTCACATTCTGATTATGACTATGAAGCATGAACCGTTATTAACTTTTCCACAGAACAGGGCTTCTTAAAGGTAGCTTTTAAGAATGAAGCTCTAATGAGAGCCTACTAGTGTCAGATGCCACTAATTAGATGCCTATAGTTTAAGTCCAAAACAGAGAGTGATTAAAAGTGTCTTTAAAAGTATAATTTTAGCTATATTTGCGGACACGCGTGCCTTTCAAGTGGAATCCATAAAACTAACAGTATCCCGTCCTTTTGCTGTTTTACTCACTAGTTACTGAATGTAGTTACTAACATAAAGAAAAGCCAGTTTGAAGTGAGAAAATTACAAGTCAGAAGCAGCTACTGCTGCTAGAGACCTACCGACAGAACACTAGTTGCTACACAATTTATGTGCAGCCTATCAAGAATCCAGTCCAAGTTCTCTGAGATACAGGAACACAAAGTTATTGAAATGAGTCTGGTTTTATTCTTATGCACTGCAATAACTGCAACCATTTAAAAATCCCACATAAAAACCCAAGGAGTTGTCTAAATGCACCTTTTCCCCAAACTTGATAGCCAGAAATCATGGGGTGAGGGAGTGAAGGAAGCCTTCACTCTTGACATAAGGTGTCCAAACCATTATTTGCTCATGGCTACGCGACCCATGATTGTTCCTACAGATACGATCAGACTGGTTTGCTGTGGAGCCGTGGCTCAGAACCTGGCAAGAAAGCTCCAGCCGCCAGAGTTTGACACCTATTTGTGCTCAGCCTGTAAATCTGTAACACCAAGAACACCAGCAAGAAAGATGTCAGTGAGTCTCAGAGCGCTGGCAGCTAAGCATTTCTGTGTGGTGTGCATCCTACTAGTTTAATAAAAGCGCAATTAAAAAAAAAAAATTGCATACGCTCACTGAAGAGGAAGCAAAAAACACTCAAGCGCTTATCTTCCACTGCTCTTATCTTGTTGCAATTTAAGATGTCAGAAGAAACAATACAATTGGCGGCATCTTTCTCCCCACAGACCGGCAACCTCAACAGCAGCTGCCGTATAGGAAAACCACTTGCACCGCAGAAGCAGTGTTCTGACACAGCAATACAAAAGCGGGTAATAAGCTAGATGTTGACATAGACCAACAACAGTATTAACGTGCATTATTAAAAACTCCACAATTTCAAGGGGGGGGCGGGGAGAAGAGAAGGCTAAAAACAACAGAGCTAATTTGAGATTCTTTTCTAATACTTCAAGAAAGCGTATTTTCAAGCAGGTCTACTTAACAACTAACTGCACCACATACGTGTTCAGCTTTACTGAACAGGATCTTACAAGCGTGGGGGTGTACGTCTGGAAGTATCGTCAGGGTTCCCGTTCACTGAACTCACACGCACAAAGGAAAAATTACTACAAGACCTATGCTCGCACCCTTCGATGTTAACAGGAAGTAAAATAAGCCTCTTATTTTACACACACTCATTAACAGCACACTCACAGACAATATACCGGATACGTCCACACCTGCTTTCAGTACCAAGTTAAGCCAAACAGCGGGCACAGAGCGGGCAGGGGGGGATTCACAGGCACAACTTCTCCCCCCCAATATTTTGTAATAAATTAAGAGCAAAATGTTCTTGTTTGCATGTATAAACACACAGAGAGAGTGGTTATCATCAAAATTAAGAGTCTAATAATCATAAAAAAGATTAGTTAACATGTTGAAGTAGATGCTTTTAAGCGAGCTAAATTCATTTCACTTCCTCCTTTCTCAGCCCACCCTTCACTCGCTCGCTCCGTCAGCCGAATACATGAGCGCCTTAGTAGTCCATGGATTGAAATAAATACTGTATTGGGATAACTAGAGGGAAAACTGTAAAAGAAACACTTCTCACTACCTACAGCAATACTGTACAAGATGAGAACTGATCTGTTTCTGGTAAACACAGTGCGTATCCATTTAAATTATTTGCCAAGTGACAGTTTTACAACAGGGTAATATATTTCCAGGAGAGAGGAAGGGATATCGAAACTGTTCTATACTGAAAGAGTGCTGTAAAATTTTATTTGTGTTCATACCAGCAGCTTATGACAAACCTGAACAGAGCGCATCCCTAACGCACTAAAACGGAGACATGACGTTTCCTGGAGCACCACTAAAGCTTTTCTACAGGGCTAACCTCCTGACCAAGATGCAGGCTGCTTTTACTTTGGGAAAAATCTACATTTTTAACTGGAGACAATACACCAGAACTGAGGAAATTAGAGTCACGGTGATATTCCACGTTACGGCCCCTCGTTGTTGACAGAGATGCCAAGTTCTTAGTCGTGGCAACTCCTGAGCTGAACCAGAGGAAAAACACGCAGAAAGATTGCTGCTCCGCTTTCAAGAGTACTCTCTTCCAAGTGACTGATCCCCGCCTTTACCAGCGGGATCACAAGCTTGCCAATTCAGCTGTAGAAGCAGGACTTGTAAACTCTAAAGTAGAGCTGAAAACAGGCTGTCAGAAAAGTGTACGGGAATTGCTGTAATAATAGATACGCTTCCTTCAACAGAATTCAGACCTTAAAAGTTCACATCTCATTTCACGAAGCAACAGATATGTTGTCAAAAAGCCACTGACTGAGGAGAGAACTCAAGTATCTTTTAAATTTTTCTATTCAAGCACTACATACAACTGAATTTCCAAATAATTATTACCTTGTCTAACTGCAGTTCTGCTTGTTCCTACACTAAAAAAAAAAAAAAAAAATCACTATTTGCCAACACAGTCCCAGTGAAGCCAAAGGGGTTTTGTTTGTTTGTTTTTTCTAAAGGAAAAAAAAAGGGGGGGGGAGGGGGGGGCACTAAAATAATGACTATCCTAAAATATACCACAAGCTGAAGGGCCCACGCTTGGGCCCATGCTTGACACGAAGGAAATCCTCTTGCACCCCTCCTGGGAAATCAGCATGTTCGAATACCTCTCGGAAGTGCCTGTACACCAACGCACGCAGCACGGGAAATAACAGGAAGAATCAGAGACCCGTGTGCGGTCGCAGGGCCATGATCTCATTGCAGTTACAGAGAGACAGTGGGAAAGCTCGCATGACTGGAATGCTGCCGTGGATGGCTACAGGCTTTTTAGGAAAGACAGGCCAGGAAGGCGAGGTGGGGGAGACGCCCTTTATGTGAGAAGGCAACGGGAACGCATTGAGCTCTGCCTAGGGGTGGAGGATGAACAGGTTGAGAGTTTACGAGTAAGGATTAAAGGGCGGACTAGCATAGGTGACACTGACTTCAGGAGAGCTAACTTTGGCCTCTCCAGGGACCTTCTTGGAAGAATCCCATGAGATTAGGCCCTAGAAGGAGGAGGGGTCCAAGAGAGCTGGTTAATATTCAAGCATCACTTCCTCCAGGCTCATGAACAGTGCATCCCCATGAGCAAGGAGTCCAGCAAAGTGGGCAGGAGATCTGCATGGATGAACAAGGAGCTCCTGACAAAACTCCAACAGAAGAAGGAAGCGTATAGAAGGTGGAAGCAGGGACAAGCCGCTTGGGAGGAATCTAGGAACATTGTCAGAGTATGCTGACAATGCATACTCTGCATTGCAATGCATACATATTTTCCCTAGGGAAATCATGCTTGACCAATCTGGTAGCCTTCTACGAAGGAATGACTGGCTGGGTAGATGAGGGGACAGCAGTGGATGTTGTCTCCCTGGACTTCGGCAAGGCTTTGGACACTGCCTCCCATCCCATCCTCATAGGCAAGCTCAGGAAGCGTGGGTTAGATGAGCGGACAGTGGGGTGGATTGAGAACCGGCTGGACGGCCGAGCTCAGAGGGTTGTGGTCAGCAGCACAGAGTCTAGTTGGAGGCCTGTAGCTAGCGGTGTCCCCCAAGGGGCAGTCTTGTTCAACGTATTCATCAGTGAGCTGGATGAAGGGACAGAGTGCACTCTCAAGCAAGCTTGCTGATGATACTAAACTGGGAGGAGCAGCTGATACACCAGAAGGCTGTGCTGCCATTCAGAGAGACCTGGACAGGCTGGAGAGGAACCTCCTGCATCTAGGGAGGAATAACCCCATAGAGGCACCAGTACAGGCTGGGGGTTGACCTGCTGGAAAGTAGCTCTGCCGAGAAGGACCCGAGGATCCTGGTAGGCCACATCTGGAGTTCTGTGTCAAATTCTGGGCTCCCCACGACAAGAGAGACATGGAGCTACTGGAGAGAGTCCAGCGGAGGGCTACAAAGAGGATGAGGGGACTGGAGCATCTCTCATACGAGGAAAGGCTGAAGAGAGTTGGGCCTCTTCAGTCTGGAGAAGAGAAGACTGAGAGGTGATCCGATCAATATGCATAAGTATCTGAAGGGAGGACGTCAAGAGGATGGGGCCAGACTCTTCTCCCTGGTGCCCAGTGACAGGACAAGAGGCAACGGACAGAAACTGAAACACAGGAAGCTCCATCTGAACATGAAGATAAACTTCTTCACTGTGAGGGTGACAGAGCACTGGCACAGGTTACCCAGAGAGGTTGTGGAGTCTCCTTCCTTGGAGATATTCAAAACCCATCTGGACGCAACCCTGGGCAATGTGCTCTAGGTGACCCTGCTTGAGCAGGGCAGTTGGACTAGATGATCTCTAGAGGTCCCATCCAACCTCAACTATTCTGTGATTCTGTGAAATTTTCAGGCTTCAGGGCCTAAGATCCTGAAATGACAACACTCATGTCCAAGGTAGTTACCATAGCTGGAGCAGTTCCTAGCATGTTTATCTATCTCGCAACAGCAAATTTTGTCTAAAATCATACGAAGGAACACAGAGTCCTACTAACATCCTGATCTGCGGGACCCTGTATCTAAGCGTTTCAGTCCACTGAATGAGATCGAGAGGATAAGCAAAGTGCCTCAACACCAAATACACAGCTACATCTCAGTTCTCAAACTAGCTACAGAGTACAGCAACGACAGAAGAGAAAGTTAATGATTTACACATATATGTTCCGGCATGATAATTTATCACGTTGTTTTGTCTATTCATTTCTGTAAAGGACCTTCAGATCCCCCTGAAAGCATCAGAAGAGTGCCTGAAATCAAGAGTACGTCAATTTGAAGTTAAAAAGCTTCAAATCAGAGTATTCCATTTTAAAACAATTGAGAACACTTTGCAATATGGACTATTATTTTTACAGAAGTGGCAATGGTACCCAGCATAAAAATAAAACGTTGCTCAAACCAAAATAAGGGAAGTACATTTCAGAAAAACTGCAGATGCTAGCTTTATCGCTTGTCAGTCATGGAAGTTAAGACTGGAAAAGACCTATTAGATCATTCCTCCCATCACCCTATCATCCTGGGATTGGCTGGCCTTAGATTACTGAGAAATTAGGTTATTGTGACAATATAGGCAGACACCCACACTACTAAGCTTCAGCACTCAAGTGACTCATAGTTCTATTTTTGGTAGTAGCAACATGGAAGACGTGAGCTTTTCCTCCTGTCTACTCTTCTCTGAGCAGCTAAATCACCTTTTCTTGAACACTTTAAAAAGGTCCAAATTCATATTAAGGTCACCTACTAACTACAGTCCAAAATTTACGCAACACTTCAATAGAAGAAGTGTTGAATTGGTGTTTTCTGCTATGGAAGTTAAGGAACCCTTTGCAACAAACAGCAAGTTTTACAAGCTCAAATGAGGTTCTTAAGGCAGCGTGCAGAAGAAAATCCTACATTCTTACATGGTTCCCTTTATAACCCAGCCGTATCACAGGGCTGGTATCAAATATCACAGCTTCATTACAGACACTCGATGATTTGGAATGAAGCATATCCTCACAAATCTGTTTGTCACCTCTGTTGCAAATGCAAAATGAGAACAAGTGCAAATAGAGTTGCTGGAGGAAACAGTCAATTATATTGTTTTCATGTCAACGGGATAGCTTGGGCAGAGCTAGCAAGAAGCCCACTTCATTAACAGTTTGATTTACTGCTGACAAAACTCCATTAGAGATGCTAGATCAGCATCACAGAATAATTCACGTTTATACACAACTTTAAAATTATCCTGGTTTGTCAGCAACAGGTGAATGAACTACAATCTACAGAGACAGGATCTGCACGAAAGTCTTAGGCAAGAGCATTATTTGGTAAGACAAAAGGGTGTTACAAAACGACGACCTTCCCCGCCTATTCCACAAAATTACACTTATTCATAAGGCTGGTGCTATTTTTATATTGCAAAAGCAACATGAGGCAAGTGCGCCCCCCCCCCAGAACTGCCTCCCCCTCTCCCCCCTCTCTTAGAAAGAAAAACAAAATATATCAAGTCCACATTTTTGAAGTTTCTCACTCGTCCAGGGACTAGCATGGTGTACTTTTCTGCCAGTGTGATTGCTTAGCAGTCTTAACCATCACTGAAGGACGCAAACCAGCCAGAACAAAAGTCACACCCCTAGCTTTACATACCGAGTACCTACCCTGAGAAAGCGACGTTTTGCCAGCTACGTTTTCAGGCATAAAGTTTCAAAAGACCGGCCCGTCAAGCGCAGCGTTTAAGCCTTGTTTATTCAAGCGCCCAAGGCTAGCCGATT